AGGATCACTATGAGTCCAATCTGTGTAGTGAAACCTTGTAGACCCTGTACTAAAAAACAAACAAAAAGAAAAAAGCAAACAAACAAACAAACAAATAAAAAAACACTCAACTAAGAATACCAAGGGTTGATGCAGATGTAGATAAACTAGAGTTCTCATATTCCTTATTGGAATGGAAAATGGTTCAACCACTGGTAAATAGCATAAGAAATTCTTAGAGGGCTGGTGAGATGGCTCAGTGGTCTAAAGCACCTACTTAGAACAAGCTTAGCAGAGCACTGGGACCGCAGTTCAATCCCCCATCACCACATGCCAGCCAGCCCCGCCCTCTGATGGGCTGAGCTGGCCCCCCCCCACAATAAATACATAAATAAATTAAAAAAAAAATTCTTAGAAAGTTAAATATACACCTACCATATGATCCAGCCACCTAATTCCAGACATCTATCCAAGAAAGAAGGAAATACGTGTTCACAACTATTTCCCCAATCACAAATCTTCATAGTAGTTCTACTGGCAACAACTTCAAACTAGACATGACCTGACAATCAACAGACCAGTGAGTAAACAAACTGCATAACATCAATACAATGGAATAGACTTACCATTAAAAAAAGGGAATGAATGACACAAAATATGGATGAATCTTAAAATAATTACAGTGAGCGAAAGTCAACCAACATAAGGATACATACTGTGATTTTCTTTATTTTTTTTTTAATTTTTTTTAGCACTCTTTTTTTTTAACATTTATTTATTTATATGTGTGTGTGTGTGTGTGTGTGTGTGGCCAGCTCAGCCCACCTGGGGGCGGGGCTGGCTGGCATGTGGTGCTGGGGATTGAACCGTGGTCTCTGTGCTTTGCCAAGCTTGTTCCAAGTAGGTGCTTTAGACCACTGAGCCACCTCTCCAGCCCTGTGATTTTCTTTATATAAAACTTTAGAAAATGAAGATTAAACTTAGTAGTTTACTTATTGCTTATGTGTAGGATGGAGGGAGAGAGAAATTATACTTTATATATGTTGCATCTATCATGTGTCAATTGTACGTCAACACTATTTTAAAAATTCTGGCTCTTAGGGAAGGGAAAAGGGGAAAGGGAAGCCAGGAGGGAAAGGATGGTGGAGAAGAGGGTGGAGATGATCAAAGAATGGCATATACATGTATGAAAAACATATGCTGAAAATCAGTAATTTGTCAAATTAATATAAACAAAATTTTTTTTTAAATCTGCAACTTAGCTGTCTTATTTTAAAGACCATGAAAAGGAAGAATGGAAATCTCAGGTCAAGGCTTCACTGACGTGTGTGAATTACCAAAGCATGCAAAGAATCTCTGCTTCCTCCACTCGGCATTCGCAAAGATACGAGTCTCTCACTGCTATTCTCCAGAAATGGTATCAACCACCATACATCTGTTTTCAGAAGAGAATGACCTAATCAGCATGAAATGAACTCCATGTCTTATAGGAATTTATGAATTATGCATATAATCCACATCTATAAACCTTTTATAAATATTTTCCTAGTTGCAGAGTGTTTAATATGTGAACTTTATGTGCACATAAATTCCAGCACATCAGGTTGTTTAATTCCTTAAAACCTTAGGATTCCCATCTCTAAAATGCTGTAAAAAAATTAGAAAACCCAGGAAGGAACAGATTTTGCCGATTGCTAGTTATTGGTTTTGGAGGTAGAGCCCTCTTCTTTCTCCCTATGCTCTGAGAGGCATCATTTGTCCCCATTTCCATCAGCAGTAATCTTGAATAAGTCAATCTTTTTTTCCAGCCTCTCTCCATCCACTAGACTCAAGAGCAGTCCAACAGGAAGAGCTCTGCGACAGTCATGGTTGGCCATTTCATAACAAAACATCCCATCTTCCTTCAGCTCAGACTGTGAGCACCACACTGCTCTGCTGGGCTGGCCTTTAGTTCTCTAAATCTGCTGGGTCCTACAGTCTGGACCTCACTTTACAGACATTACTGAACGGCTGGAGGGAAAAATCTCAACATCTGCTGGAAGACAAAATAGTAAAACTCTTGAAGTCACAGGTATCTGGTAGGCGAGAACTTTCTGAACACAACCCACAGGAAATAGTACCCACAGCCAACAAACGGGATCATTAAGAATTAAAAAGTTTCTGCACTGAAAAAAAAAATGGAAAGATAACCTACAGAATATAAAAAATATTTACCAACTATTCTTTAGACACAGGATTAACACCTATAACATATAAAACACTCAAAAAATTAGATACCTCAAAATAAAAGATCTAATCAAAAAAAAAAAAATCAGCAAGTGAAGTGAATAGATGCTTCACAGAAGTACAAGTGGCGGGTAAATATATGAAGAAATGCATACATATGGCTGGCCATTAGGAGAAACACAAATTAAAAGAATGAGATTCTATCTTACCCCAGAAAGAACAACTACATCATCACGAAATCAT